AAAGACAAGACAAAGGAAAAAAAAGCAGATTTTTATCTTCTGTCTGCCACAGTGCCTTCATGCCATTATCTCCATCAATTTAAAATCTCTGGGTTTTGTTTTAGGGAAAATTCTTCACCTTTGTTCTTCAGAGGAGTGTAAAATTACACTGTAAAGCAATTATTTTCTTCAAGGAAATTCAGTGTTAGTCATGTGATATGAAGTCAAAAAATCAATGAAGGAGAGAATAAGAGCAATAAAGGTATATTTACACTGTTCATCTTAGCTGAGAAACAAAGGTCCTTGGGTATTCTCCTTTTATCCATGGCTGACTACCTAGCAGCTAAGATTGCTGCAATGGGAAGAATTATTCAATTAAAAAAGAAAAGATGCTAGTAGGTTCTAATGCAGTATTTTAAGTTCTGCATAAAAATCAGAAAGAAAAGGGATTTTGTCTATCATTTAAAACATTTTCCATAACTTCTCACTACTTTCCTTTGCTCAGCTTCCCTTGGAGGGAAGTTTCCTTCCTTTAAAATTTATTTCACTTTCTGATCAAGGACTCATTTGTCATCACTCCCTCTCTGGAATTCTGTGAGTACCTCACAATGAAACCTCTAACCTCCTGACAGACATACATCATGAGGAGTTGTTCCTAAACCTTACTAGTTAGCTCGTGCACTTTCTTTCCCAGAGTTAGTCTTCACCTTCTTTTGCTGTGGTCAGCACACTGTTATTGGCCTTCGTAGTCCTGCTTCGTAGTTCAATGTTTGCAATGTTTGATCAGGTTTAATGTTGAACAGACCATGCAACACTTGACAGTATCCTTGCAAATCGTTGGGAAATTTTGCCTTTGGATGCTTTTCACCTTGCTTTGTAGACTGGGGTCTGTATAAAGCTGTAATATGAAAGCACTCTTTTGGAGTTGGGACATGTTGTGGAGTCATTACTGATACACTTTTAGTTTTCAAAAGGGTATTAGTTCACACTAATACCTTCTTTGTTTTAGATAAGTCACCAAAATTAACAGAAGTCTGGAAGTTGCTAGCTGCTCATTGAAAGTTGTTCTTGCATATCTACATCAGTTCCAAATGAGAACAACATAAACATTCCTAAACTAGAAACAATTTTTGAGCAACCATAATTTTTTTATCTAGAGTGCTAAGGATATCTTCTGGACTCACCAAACAGATACCCAGACTCACATAATAACAGAATAAACTCACAGAATGTTTCAGTAAAAGTATACTCTTCCAAAATTACTGCCTTGCTGTTCTACCTTTGTTCCTTTCCCTTTCTAGGGACACATAGTTTCATATTTCAGTGAATGCTTAATAACTTAAATACCTGTGATTTCTGGAATTTTACAAAGGAGGTCAAAATAATAGGGGAAAAAAAGAAAGAATACAAGCTGTTCGAGACTATGAATCTGGAAACAAAAAGGTTAACTGCGGAATGAAGCAAAAACCATTACAGATAGAATCAGCTGATGTTTATGGAAATGATTTTGTGTACAGAAAATTATTTGGGTCTGATACTCAGTGTGACTGACTAAGTTGGGTTTTAGGTATGTCTGAAAGAGATGACACTGGATCTTTTCACTTCTGAGCTATCCCAGCAGGTTCTGGAACTGTCCCCTCTCTGGTCACGAAGGTCCCTTCCTTCAGAAAAGGTGAATCAGCACAGCTGCATCCGGTGTTAAAATTATTTGTGGTAAAATAATTAATAGTGTTATAATTAGTGTTCAAACGTAACATCCAATTCCAGTGTACACACATTTTCTCACAGCTGTGTTTCAGTCTGTTTGCACACTCAGAAAAGCAGCACTACTTGTGTTTATCTTCATTTCTCTTTGTAATAATTTTCTTATGGTAGCTAAGTTAAAAGCACTGAGTAAAACCCTCATTCACTTATTTGTAAAACTTCCAGCGACTTTGCTGGGATCAGGTTTTCATCCTTTTATTTTGTTTGAACTATGACTGTGACCACTCCTCATCACATAACATGAAACATAGATTTAATTCTGACACTGCTCACTTAGTCCTGAAGTAAATTCACTCCTGCTAGTGTTTCTGATCAGACCTCATTTATTACCTCATCTAATCTTCTTAATTTGATGTCTGACTCCAATGTTAAGGAGTGAGTGCCTTACTAGAATAGTCTGGAAAGTATTAATTCACTGATTGTCATCTTGAAATAATTTTTGCTCGTGTTCGATTGCATGGCCATATCCTGACAAACTGGGTTTTAAAAGTAAGTATTTAGTGCTCTATAGTATGCATTCTGGTTTGGAGTCTTTGATGGCATATTTTGAAAAAGTTTTGCGGTATTGCTTTTTAGGATAATCAGTAAAAGAAGGTTCATATGCTTATTAACCTTGCTCAGTGAATCCCCGTCGGCCTTCTTTTGTGAAGTCTGGTCTCCCTTTAGATAAATGGGATTTTTATCATAAACTTAAGTATAGGCAGGGTTTCAGCTCATTTTCTTTTCTTAAGTACCTGCAGAGCATTGAACTCATGTATGTATCTTTCTACATGCCTTCTTACATTGCTACTCTTTCTTCCCATTTATCATTGACACAAGCTTCTGCATACATTTTTCTACTTCTGTAACAAAGAGAAAGTACATGTGAGACTGACAGATAATTCTAAATTACTTTGGAGGTGTCATGTGATAGGTTTTTATTCAAGAGATTACTTAAATGGATTTTCTTATCCATGTAGATAGTCTTTTAGATCTAACCAGAACTTTTGTAGTGCTTTTGTTTATTCTTGTGTTTGTGTGTTTTCCTGAACTGAAATTATACAGTCTTGTAAAGATCACAGCAACACTGGAACTTCTGTGGGGTTTAAGTAACTAAATTTTAATGGCTTTGCCAACTAAGTCAGAAAAGGCATTTTATGCTAAGTATGCAGGATGGAAGTAGGTGTAAGGGTATCTGCTGGAGAAGTAAGCATGCTATATGAAAGCTATCAGGACTGTTCATGGGAGAATTCATAAAATTACTGACTAGATTGTATCATGAAATTGTGGAAGTCAGAAGACTTGGATTTTAACATAATTTTTTAAAAAGTAATGCCTTTCACAAAAAAGAAACACATTGTTTTTCTTAACCGTGTGCTTAAATTGTTCATAAAATACACTGGCTTTAGCAGAGGCAAAGTAGAGCCTGTTGCATGTTTAACTATATCTTTGCAGATGGAACTGTATGATATGTTCCTTCTGTATTTGTCCAAAAGACTCCAGGTATAAAAGAACACACATATGAAATTTTCTTAACTAAGGTCTTAGTTCAGACTCTGTTCTCACAGCTGAGTGAACAGCTATTGAGGCTAAATATTTGCCATATCTGAATTGAATGTTTGTTGTCTATTCTCAAGTGTAATTCATCCACTGGTATGTTCTCTGACAAAACCTGTAGTTCTTTGTTAGCATTTATGTACCCAGAAAATCCACCATTTATATCTGTATGGCAAATATGAATATTTAGTCTGACCGTAATTTGACTAGATGGGAAAATTATATATATAATTTTATTTGCATTGTTCACAAATGTGCTTTATATGGTTTATTATTTTTTCTATTTTCTTGTATATTACTAGTAAAAACAGATTTTGGTGGTTTTCTTCCCTTCCCTTCCCTTCCCTTCCCTTCCCTTCCCTTCCCTTCCCTTCCCTTCCCT